CCGAGAAGGTGCCTCCGGAGCAAACGGCATGCTCGGCATGCGCCAAAGCCGGATAATGGCGGCTATCAAAAGCTTATTTCACTGCCTCAGAAAGGCGCAACACATTCTCTTCTCTCTCTTTAGATTGGCGACGTCCTGTAAATCAAGCCTAATGTCAGCGTGCCACATCAACGTTTCGTCGTTCAAGGATCAAATGCAGCTTTGATGCTGCAATGAAGGACATGCCAAAAAGGCAACCAGAGGGTTCACTTCGGGTGACGTTTGTTTTGATATCAAGGCTTCAAGCCTCGCTTCGAGCCAAGCCCCATGCAAGGATGCCAGGGGGGCTGGGGCAACTTTTCTCGTAATCTGCCCAATTGTATTCATCTTTTTTAGCGCCGCCTCCCCACTCACCGTTATGCCTCCGTCCGAACGATATGGATATAGAGGTTCAGTTTTTTGACCCTACCACGTGATGAAAAGACCCGTTTCCTGTCCTTCCCACTCCCATAGACATGCAGACATAGGGCCAGACTAGTAGTTGGGTCGGTGACGACCAGCCAATCCCTGGTGTTGTATGTTTTATTTTCCTTTTGTCTTTTTCTCCATTCCGCCTTGGCCACCGTTTATCTGTCAAATATTTTATGTTGTCTTTTTTCTTGCCATGTTACGCTCATGTCATGGATCGCATGATACAAAACACAATACTAACTAACGGTTGAGTTCTTGCGATTGTGCATCTTCAAAGACTCGGGATCACCATATTTCATACAATGACTACAATCCTTTGTCTCGAGCAATCAAGCCAGGAACGCTGTAGATAGAACATCACTTGGCAAAGTGTATAAATGCTGGATGTCGAAACACTCCTTGGTTTTGAGGACTGTCAGTCTGTTGTCCTCCATCGAATATCTGTCTTCCAGCTTGTCGCTCTTTTGACTGGATCAACGGCGAAATCCCACACAATCATTAAAAGACACACTCGTTACTACTCTCACGAAGAGAGAAAAAGAAAGAGAGAAAAAAAGCAGCAACCATGATAGCCCACAATCTCATCATCTCCCTCCTCCTCCTTTTCCTCTCCTCCTCCTCCACCGTCCTCGCCCTCCCAGCATCCACCATCAACACCGCTGCCAACACCACCTCCAACGCCACCCACCCATCCATCCACTACTTCCCCCGCGCACCAGTCGAGTACGCGACCGCCTTCATCGGCCCGCGCGAGGAAGGTCCCAAGAGATACTGCACCAACTACGGCCCCGTCGTCGACCAAACCTCCGCGGCCTCCCCGCTCAGCGTGGACTGCAAGCAGATCGCGATCAACATCGGCGCGGGCGGGTCGTGGAAGTGGATCACGGGCCCCAAGCCCAAGATCGTGGCCAAGTACGGCACGTGCCTGGTGGGCGTGGACGGCGCGTCGGGCGTGACGTATGGGAATTATCTGCGGGTCGGGAACATGGACATCGTGTGGATGATTGAGGAGACGCTCAAGCTGCCGTTTTATAACGGCGAGAAGGTCGGCAGTAAGGGCACAATGGACTGCAAGCAGGTGATTAAGCCGGATAGGAACTTTGCGGTTACGTGGGGGGTTTGGCATACTTGATGAGGTGAAAAGGAAGGAAGGAAGGAAGGGGGAGGGGAGGTGAGGTGAGGTGAGGTGGAAGTGGAAAGGATTGGGGGATTGGAAAGGGAGAAGAAGATGTAGGGATGGGTTTGGTAGTAGACTTTGCTTTGGTTCTGTTGACGATGTTGGTTAGCTTTCGTTTCTCAGATGTGTACATCATGGATGTTAAAGGGTTTCTGCTAGGTATCGGGGTACTTACTTGCCTCTAGGTACGATTATTACTTTTTTGTCGAGAGAAAGAATACGTATACGAGGCGGTCAGTTGACGTGAGCGAACACCTCACAACAGAGAACATTCACTGCGTCTGAAGAGTTGTATGATATTTATGTACAAAAGGATGACTATCGTACTGTACTAGTGACAAATATCTCATCGTCTTCCATCTATTCCTGACTCTCAAAGTAGGTAGCATGATCATCGATATCCGCAAAGATCATCCCTCATTCCGTTCTCTACTCCCATCCAGGCTCACTTCCCAGTTGATGACCGTGGCATCCGTTTTCCAATCCAATTGTTTTCCTCCCATCACGAATTACCTAGAACAACAAGGAAACACAAAGGATAGCCAGCACAATCGTACACATCCAAACAAGTAAACGTAAAGGTATCTCGAAAAATAAAACAAAACAAAACAAAGCAAAAGAGAACGCCGCCTTCCTTCTTCTTCACTTCGTCCACGCTCAAATCACAAAGCATAATTCTCCGTATGCAAAAAGATCTCCTCCAACATATCATCCCCCCAAATCTCCGCTTGCAGCCTGGCCACCGTGTTCGCCACGCCCACTCGCATGCTGGCCGGTCCGCACACGAACACGGCCGTCCTGCGTCCCAGCACGCCTCTGCCGTCCGGTCCACCGGTCGCCCACTCCTTGAGCATGTACCCCAGGTCCGGGCGGCCGTACTCGACGCTCCAGCCGCCGTCGATCTGGTGCGGCACGGGGAAGGCGAAGCGCATGAGCGACTTCTGAAACTCGGTTGGCGTGTTAGGAAAGCCAAAGTCGAAGCCGGAGGGGGGACCGAAGGTGGAGGTTGGACGGGTAGCGGGCCGCTGGGCTGCTGATGGAAGGTTATCGGTGCGGAGGTGGGCTAGTTCGGGGGGACGGACCGGTTGGGTTGTTGCCTGGGGAGCAGGAGCTGATTCGGCGGTACCAGTGAGGTTGTGTCCAGGTGGAGGTCCGGGAGGTGGTGGTGGTATTGGGTAGGGTAATCGTGAGGCGTCTTGGCCGGAGTAAGGATTGTTGTTGTACTCGACTCCTTCTTCGTGTTGCTCTTGTTGTTGTTGGTGGTGGTCCTGGTCCTCAGACTCTCTCATGGTTACGTAGCTGGGCCGACCTTGAGATTCGGGATCACCACCTGTCTGGGCAAGCCACTGGCTATATCGCTGTTTGGCTGCTGGTGGTGCGTAGTTGAAGTGCGGAGCCTTATCGGGCCGTGGGGCAATTGCTGGGAAATGGAACTCGCCATCCTTCTTGACGCCGTCCTTGCTGTCGATTGGGTTCATAAGCGATGGGTCCTTAACATCGCGCCCCTCGAGCTTGCGGAGTGTGTCCTCAGCAACGGAGTATCTTTGATTAGGTGGCGGTCCTGGAGGCGGAGGAGGAAAGTGATGAGGTTGTAGATATTTTTGTTGCGGCAAGGCGGTGATCCGGTCCTCGTCTTCGGCGCGGAGCTCGCGCTCTCTTTCTGGATCGCCTTGCGCCTCCGCCATGATGAGCGCGCTGTTGCGCTTGTTAGCGATATTTGAGACAAACCCATCCAGCTTATCGTGGAAAAGGTTGCTCAAGGGTCTTGGAGCGCGGCCATGAGGTATGCCAGCATTTGGCTGTTGGCGCTGTGTAGATGTCACAAAGAACTTGCAGGTCACGCTCTCAGGAGGTGCTGCTTCTCTGCAGATACGGAGTTCTTCGCGGAACCAGTCCATGGCCTCAAGACGCTTGAGTGACCACACGACCACGATCTTCTTGGTGATGGCCTTTCCATCACGCATTCTCTTGATAAGATTCAGTAGCTGTGACATCAGAGAAGTGATGCCACTGCCGCCTGCAATCAGAATACAGGTATCGAAAGCGGCCAAATCCCGCCGCATGCCTCCATATGGTCCGTCGAGAAAAGCGCGGTAGGTGTGAAAGGGCCCCTTTTCAATGGCAGTCTCGAGGACCTTCTTCGTGAAGCCGCCGTACGGCCGGAAGACCAGCACGCAGTCCCTGTAGTTCTCGCCGTACTCAGAGGGAAAGTCTTCACTGCACAGTGAAGAAATCGTGAAGGGGTGATTCTCGAAAAGCGAGATGCCTGGCATACGTAGATAGACGTATTGCCCTGGCTTCCAACGCATCTGGGTCGGAATGGTAATCTTGATGGCATTCTCGGTCATGATGTTGATAGCCGCCTCATCGCCAATCATCCAGGCCATTCGCCAAGGCTTCGCCCAGTTCAGGTTGAAAAGTCGGATAATATTGCAAACAAGGAAGATGCCAACGGAAGCGAACAGATAACCCCATGACAGCAAGAAGTTCTTGGTGTGCCAGAAGAGCAAGGCGACATAGATCAAGCCAACCGGGATGTGTAGTATGACAAATACCTCGTAGGCCTTTCGCCGGATGAAAGGGAGTGAGCCAACACACAGCCAGCATAAGGGCACCAAGCAAGCAATGCCGGAGCCATAGATGATCCCGCTGCCTGGGGGGAACAACTTTTCGAAGATCTCCATACCTCCATCTTCCCATACCGGCTGCACGTAGAACGGGACCATGTGGACCAACGAGAGGAACAGGCACAAGTATCCAAGCCAGCGGTGGAAGACATTGAGGCGCTCGGGGCCGATGCCTGTGATGAGGGTGAGAAGATTGGCTTTTGTGCTCGTAGCGACGATCCAGGGCGTCATGGCAACCGCGATCATACCGGCACGGATAGCGACCGGGGGAGAGCCGAACCGAATACTCTGCCAGTAGAGCGGCTGCTGGAGAAAGCAGTAGATCGTCACGAAGGCAATGGAAACGAAGACGCAGAACAGGACGGATACGGATGAGAAGGTAAATCGATGTTTCTTCCATACAATATCGGGGATCGGTCGGTAGAATACCCATCGGAATAGGGCGAGTGTGTCGTTAACAAAACCGATGGATGAGAAGTGAGCTTTCGGCTTGAAGTTCTTCTCTTCGAGGGGCGGCTCGTCGGGAAAGAAATGGCGTCTCGATTCTGCCACTGTCATGCCCGTAGCCATCGCTGCTGACCTATCCCACTCTGGTTCCAGACTGTAAAGCTGTCGAAAGTGTTCCTCCATCTCTTGCTTGTATATCGCTTGTCGAATCTTGTCCTGCCAAAAGTGCCATATCCTCATAAACAAAATGAGACCGACAATGGCAAGCGAAAAGTACGTCCAACCGAGTCCATATTTGCCGGCTTTTGACCATGGGTCTACTGTTAATGCTTGGACAAGACCAGGCGGACTGTTCGGCTTGAGTGGGATGGCGATTCGTTTTGCTAGGTCGCCAACGGCTTGTGTGGTGCTGTCTGCAGCGCGTCTGAGCGCCGATGGTATTGATGAATCCATGTCGGCGAGTGATGAAAGAGTGTGTGTGGTTAAAACGGTATATGGTCCGCGGTGACGGAAAGCCGTGGTCGAATGACGAAGCGGCTTACTCGACCTGTTTCAACAAGGGCATACCGGATCCCCCAAAATTAAAGATTAAGAAGCGTTATGTGATGATGCGGTGGCCATCGGTGAGGAATCGAGTGTGAATTGGAAGTGGATGACGGCCAAAAACAAGAAAACAAAATTGAGAAACGATTCAGCACACGGGAAGGGAGACTCGGGGATATATGATGGACCTGGGCCGGTACCAGAAGTAATAAGCTATTCGGAACTCGGAAAGGCGTCCGAGAGAGTCGTATCGAGGCCCTGAAGGCGAGGATGCGGAGAGGATTCAGGTAACTGTGATGAACGTTTAACCACATGCAGTAAGACAAGTTGACAAGCTGCAGAATCCGTCCGTCTAGTTCACAGCAAGTCGCCAGCCGCTATTGCTCGGCAGAATCCACCCGTGACTTCTTCAACCGTGATGGCGGGCTCAAGGTCCAGGCGTGATTGGAAGACGTCGACAGTTTCCCCTTTTTGTCCCCTTTTTGTTGTGTGGAGATGGTGATCAAAGGTAGCAGTCGACAGGAACGCCAACGCCTCGAGGAACAAGCCAGTCAAGAGTCAAAGGCGCACAATAACGTCAAGACGCTTCTGATGACTGTCAATGGGCGGGCAAAAAGTCGGATGGTCATGGCGATGCGGAAAAGGCTTGATAGGCACCAAGCTCAGCGGTTGATCGGCCTTTAATATTGGCCAGCCAGGGTCCAGGTGTGGAACCACCCCCCCCCCCCCCCCCCTTCCGCCTCTTAGTCCCCATCGAACCCCCCGCCGCTCATGCTTGCCCGTCACACAGTAGCGTTGACCATCAACGCTCCATGATTTTTGCGAATTCATGAGCCGAGGAAACTCTCGATGAGTATGGCTGAATATGAAGTCGACGAGAACTGAGAACGAAAATTGGAAAAAACCGAAGGAGGTCAATGAATCGAGTTTCCGGACGTTTCTGGGATGCATGTCTCGCAAGCAACTGCACACCCATTTACAAAAGAGCATAGATGGCGGTACATGCCGCTCGACAGCTTTGCTAGGAGTTGACATGGTCACATATCGCCTGCAAATATATGGGATCGTTCCTTGCTCAACTGTCTGGCAAGCAATCTGGCTCCCAGACAAGCAGATGACAACGTGCGGTATGCGGTCTCGATGCGGTGGCCACAGCCGTCCATCTATCTGCTTCCTCAAGCCCACGATGACAATATACGGCACTTGCTGTTGACTGCTTGTGTGGCATGAATGATGAGAGTGTGTAACTGTGAAAGTCAGCATGAGACCGGGGAGGTTTTCCGGGCAGGTGAACAACCACAGACCCAATGGAAGCTCAACAAGAAAGCTTATCAACCTCCTCTTGGGGTGTATTGAGAGTCGGTCTCTCGCCAATACCAAGCCAGTATGCCGTCAGCTTAATCTATAAGAGATGGTTGATATACCTAATACCCAAGCCTGCCGTGGAAAGGCTCTTCTTCCAGCATGTCGTGGTCGTGGTCGTCGCCATGGGAGAGACGGGCCGTCAATGTTTGCTGGAAGTGAAGCACCCGACTGTGACTGTGACTGCCATCCATTGCCTGCATAGCCAAGGGCATGGAAGTCTCGATAGTTCTGCTCGAAGCGAATTGGCATCAACAGCAAGTCAACACCAACTGGGAATGGCTCCAGCCCCCACGGCAGCACCTCAACAGGACACTGTACGCCGTAGTCCCAGGACCTGTCAGGGCCCAGTACAGCACAGTACACTAAGGCAGGCACAGCGGCCCCGTTGCGTTGCCATGCCACGGCCGCAGATGGGTCGCTTCCTTTCCACAAAGCAGCAGCTTGACTTTTGCCGGGTATTGGTCCTCCAATTGCTAGTGTCCTTTGAGAGTCTGGTCTGGTCTGGTCGCTCACAAGTGTCACAGCAGCTGTGGAAGCAGGATGCAAGACACTGGTGGCCGGTGGTCCACAGGAGGGCGAACACGGTACGCGTACAACAAGAAAAAAGGAAAAGAAAAAGAAAGGAGGAGTGCGACTTTGCGTGCTCAGGAGTCAAGGCCGGCCCTTGGTGAGAGGGCCGGCCAACCTGGCGATGCGATTGGAGAGATATCTGTGATGAAAGGAAATTGTTTGATGGCGAATCAACAGTCACGGATGGGAGGTTGTCCGAGTGGAAAAGGCAAGAAGCGGAGCCGAATCCTTCCTTGATGCGGGCGATGCGGGCGATGCGGGTTCCCGAGAGGTCCACAGCTCATCCCCGAGCACATCACTTTGCGGGAGGAAGCATGGACCAACAACATCTCTCGGCGGCAACACAGCGCTTCTGATTGACTGGTTCCAAGCACCAACAACCCTCACCCTCGTCCATTGTCCTCCATCCAACCTCACTCGTCCCATACAGTATCTGCCAGAAGCAAACAGCAACGGCAACACGGTAGACCATGCTTGCCATACGGCAGTGAAAAAGAGATTATTGCCCCTCCGATCAAGGAATGTTAAACGACAATTGGAAAGCGTCATGACGATCTTTCGGTTCTTGCACCCAAGTCCCGCTTACGGCCCGGTTCAAGCTCTCCATGCTCGATACTCCTCCAGTTTGTGTGTTGTCCCTGACATGCGTACGCAGCACAAAGCCAACCCAACAATGGCTCGGCTAAACTTCTGTGAACCACCACCATAGCAGCCAAATTACTTCTGTGAAGACAACGTTTCATGCTGCCTTTGTTGTTGCCACAGCAAATCCCAACATCTTGGATCGGCCGCCTGTACCTCTCTCTCATGGCACAATAACTTGTAGCGGTCGTCACACTCCATTGTGATCATTGTGATCACTTTACGGTTACATGTTGATTGTTGCTCTGGTACAGCATATTGAATTTTGACGTCTGTATCAAATTACTCATACCAGGTTGCTTCATTAACCTGAATCATGCTTTGGATGATACTACCTGCCTGAAAGGAGCCGCCTCGAGAATCGCTGACTATCTTTGAAGCTATCCATTACAGCTTGTAGTAGTACGGTACTGCAACCACGACAACTTCGGGATTCCTTGAAGTTACAAGACCCTGCTGTCTGTGCTACCGGTCGCTACCCGTACCATTATGCAAGACATATCTTCGTTTTCCGTTTTCCTGCCACCACCACCTAATCTAGGCCGCCTGATGGGCCCCGGCCAAACTGCCAACCTCCCGCCACCAGGGCATGAACACCCATTTCCGTTGTCCTAGACTTAGTTCGTCCTTTCAACCACCTTCTCAAACCCCAACGCGCTGATATCCGCGCTCAGCGGCCGTCCCTGGACCAACTCGCTCATCACGATGCCCGTGCCCAAGCTCATACTAATTCCCCACGGCCCGTGACCGGTAGCCATGAACACGCCTCCCTCGGCGCCGGGCTTCGTCTGAATTCCGCCTCCGAGGTGCTCATCCGGCACCCTCGCAACAATAGGCAGTCCCCACGGCGTCACCGGCCGGAAACACAAGCCCTCTCTAACCACCTCCAAATCATCCTCTCCATCAATATCTGACCCCAGTAGCTCCCTAGCCGCCTGCTTCACCAACTCCATAGACTCCGTTTGCACCTTTGAGCCCTCCGCCACGCTCGGCAGTGGCACTACCGCCGAGTTCAGCCCGGCAAAGTAAATCTCCCCGCCCACCTTTGAAAAGATCTCCGGACAAAAGGCGTCATCATAACTCGTATAAACCGCATGACACCCCTCACCATCGACAGCGCCTTGCCACCTCGGGCTCTTCACCACCAGCGAATGACCCGCCAAGCTCGTCACCGGCAACTGTTTTACCGTCTTCGACGTAGCCCCAAACAGCTTCTCCCAGACCTGTCCGCTCCAGCACCCCGCCGTGATGATGATCCGCGAACACTTCACCTCCCTCACCTCCCCCGTCTTGACGTCCCTCAACCTCACACCACTGACCACCCCCTCAGGCCCTTCCCTCAACACCTCCACCGCCTCCGCCCCTTGCGAAATCTTCACCCCCCTTCCCTCCGCCTCCGCCAACAAGAACCTACACAACCTCTCGGGCTCCAACTGCGCCGCGTCCCCCTCCCCGCCAATAACCTCCACATCATCGCCCTGGCGTCTCCTCAACCACGCCGGCGTCTTCTTCTTTAGGTCTTCCGCACTTAACACCGGCAACAGCTTTTCAGGAGCCGCCTCCGCCCTACTCGTCCCGCTCCGCAACCAATCATCCCCACGCTTCTTGACGCCCTTGTCAGCCGCCACGGCCGAGTATCCCAGCGAGGTCGAGGGCGCGTAGGACCAGTTGCTTCGGCCGTCGTGGGCGACAGCCAGACGGGCGTGCTCGGCGAAGGAGAGCGCGCCGAGAGAAGAGACTTCGGGGGCGAACCAGTTCCGGGCGAGGAAACCGCCGGCGAAACCGGAGGCGGACCAGAAGAGGGTGGGGGAGGGGTCGATTAGGTGGATTTCTGGAGATGAAGATGATGATGAAGATGAAGATGAAGATGAAGATGAAGAGAGGGAGAGGTAGTAGGCGGTTGAGACGCCGATGATGCCGGCGCCGAGGATTACGGTGCCGGTGTTCGCGGTGATGGTGGTGGTGGTGGTGGTGGTGGTTGTGGTGGTGGTTGTGGATGACATTTTGGTGCCTTCGACTTGGTAGGTGAGATGTATATCGCTCGCTCTTGCGATTGCTGGTATGCGTTATATGTGTGACTTGAGTGGCTGTGAGGTAAAGCTTCTGATGAATTCGGGGCGTCAAGGATGCTCCGACCTCTTGGCGAGTTTATGTGAATCCGTCAACCTATGTGCCAGGAACCAAGAGAGAATCTGGCCAGGTCAGCATACCGTAGAGAGAGAGTATATATATATATATCTATATATATATATATATGTCTCCTACTGCAGCTATACGGCCAAGCAAGCCCTTATCAACTCACAAGCCATCCATGTTCACAATTGTGTATCAAAATGAGGGGGAGACCGCGCCCTTCGTGTCATTCTCAACCCCAGAGTCCCGGGCTTGGCGAGACTAGTTCCGGGGCTATCACTGGGGATGCATATCTTGAGACCTATCCTAGCATCTTGATGTGAGCGATATGTTGAACACCCCCCCAAATTATACAGTCCTTTGCGTCTTTTCCATAGATCGAAAAGGCTTGGTGAACATGCGGTTTGACAGGCAGTCTCGGCCCCTTCGGGGAAATATACCCCGACCACCAACGAGCCTGAAAGAGCCAGAAGCACATCACGACCTCTTGAAATCGAGACTACAAAGTTGGAGAGGAGGCTTGAAAAGTGTTCCCGCCTCGCAAAAAGTTACACGCAAGTTGATTGACAATGCTTCCATTGCAGAAAGGCAATGCGCAAGCAAGCAGAGTCCATCCGAAAAAGAGAAGTCACTCAACTGTCCACAATGATTCACCCACTGCGCCCGTCAAAGGAGTGCATTTGCTATTCAGAAAAGCCATGGGCATAGAAAACCCACGGGCGTCTTGAAAACCTTTGCTCTTCTTCATACATTACTCTGGAGATGCCATGATGATCATCCACCGGATATCGTTGTTGTGTTGTCGATACGTAATCCGGGATTCGGCCGGGTTGTCGGGGTGGTCTCCATCTGCCCCGCAATCAGGTTGCCGATTGTCGTGGTGGGGTTCACAGGCTTCTTCACCATTTCTTGTTGCAGCTGGTCCAAGTGCAAGGCGTCACCATCTGAAATCTCTGACTTCACAAGCTTCCCGGGTTCCGAAGCAGAACAACGACAACGACAGCAATAACAACTATCACCGGCAAAACAAACACCAAGGTGCACACACAGCCAACCACATACGACCGAACACAATGTCAGAACCAAAAGTCATCATTGTCACCGGCGGCAGTAAGGGAATTGGCCTCGCTGTCGTGCAGGACCTCCTGGAAGCCAAGCACAATGTAATCATGGTTGCCAGGACTCCCATCGGCGTCAGCGAGCTTGTGAAGGATTACCCAAGCCAGATCAAGTTCTTGGCCGCCGATATGACAGTGCCTGATGTGAGTGGTGACCAAGAATCGCATTTTGAAGTTGCAGGATGGAAAAATTGATTAAGGGCAAAGTGTATATTAACGCATCTAAAAGACTGCACACAGAGCTGTAGAGCTCGCTCACCTTTCTTACGGAAAGCTTGATGGCGTTGTTGTCAACCATGGAGTACTTACTCCCATCACACGTCTGGCCGAAGCTTCCATTGAGGACTGGAAGAATCACTACGATGTGAACGTCTTCAGCGCCCTTTCCATTGTGAGCTTTACACCCCTGGACCATTATGATCAAATAGCAAGGCTAACACAATGATCAGGTCAAAGAAGCCATCCCTCATCTGCGGGCCACCAAGGGCAAGATCATCTTTGTGTCCTCAGGCGCCGCTATTAAGGCATATGCCGCTTGGGGAGCGTATGGCTCTTCCAAGGCCGCCCTCAACTCAATTTGCCGCCACGTTGCCGTGGAGGAGCCAGATATCACAGCAGTTGCAGTCAGCCCAGGACGGGTTGATACTGACATGCAAAGGGAACTACGCGAGAAGGGCCAAGGCGTCATGTCCGATAACGACTACGCCGGCTTCGTCTCGGCCTTCGAGGAAGGGCAGCTCAACAAGCCCGAATGGCCTGCCCAGGTCATCGCGAAGCTGTCACTTGACGCCAAGTCTGACCTGTCCGGTAAATATGTCGCGTGGAACGGACCGGAAGTTGCGGAGTATCGCGAGCAGCATTGAGGGAATCTAGGGAAACTTTTGTCTAGTTAGCAACCATATCTGGAAAAGGTAACGAAGACATGAGAAGATAGTAATGGGGCAAGAAGTCAGTTGAAAGATGAAAAGGCTATACGTGTATCCACATAGAGATTCAGCATTAGCATGGAATGTAAGTTTATTCATCACATTGCCATGATTGTTTGTGTGCTCGTGCTTGAGAAGAAAAAGGTACCTACTCTGTGTGATGTCATCGCTAGAGCGCAAGTAACAGTCACATCTCCATGGCCAAGCTGTCCCCATCCGTTGAAGTGGAAGATGGAACAGCCTAGCCACTTCTTTGATATGAAGCCATTGCGCAAGAGGACACGATCATCTGTATTGGTCCGGGTCTGCACCGGGACGTTAGTCGTCTGACACGTTCAAGTCGGCGCGTCGACGAGGTGTGATTGAGTCGAGATGGTTCAGGAAAATTGTGTCCGTCATGAACTGTCGGAATTGGAATGAAAAGTACAAAAGCATCATGGTGTCGGCTCGAAAGTAATCCGTGTGGTACCAGACCACAGGAAAACGGCATACCTGATCATGGTAACCATGCTGGACACTGGGAGTAACTGTTAGCAAAACTGCTGACGATGTTGATACTCCAAAACACACAAGAACACAATTGGTTCGGTTTCGATCAGTGATGACGTTTGGCTTGTCGGTGTCTATCACCATAATTGTGTATGATAGGGGCGACACGAATATTCTCCTCATAGAAACCCCAAACCAATGCGTTCTTGTGCTGGCGGAAGAAGGGGAAGGAAGATGTTCTTACCTATCATGAACATTGCTCGGGGTAACAGTGAGCTGTCCAGTCAAGTGATATAGCATGGAAACATTGCAGTTGCCTGCGTGTCCCAGTGGAAGCGCATCGTATCGCGGCTGTAAAAAAGGTAGAAAAGTGAAGGAAGGAAGCGCTGCAGAAAGTTGAAAGTTTTCAACGCGACGGATGGATCACAAATTTTCTTTTGAACAACGGAACAACGATCAGAAATTTGTGGTGGGGTCCCATCGAGGCTCCACTCTCACTGTTGCGAGTGGGTCAGAGCCCGATTGGGATGGCGGCACTTGGCATTCCTTCACCAGTTGCGACCAGGTGACCACAAACCAGAGACCTCTGAAGCTCGGACAAAGCTGAGAGGTGGGGGTGTGCGGTTCAAACGCGTGCGCCAGACGACTCGGACGAATTCATACCTGACTGCAACCGGGCCTCAGGCGAAGCAACCTCCTCTTTAAACATTTGTGCAGTTTGCATATATTATAGATACATTTTATATAATATAATAAACAGTTGAATGTATAAGTACTAAATAAATATAAATATATAAATAACGTATAAATTCTATATAAAATTAATATTTTGAATAATTTAAAATAGTTTTGAAATAAATTTGAATTATCAAGAACGAAGTACTAACAACACTTAAGAAATTAAAATTAAATACTAAATAAAAAATAAGAAGCAAATAAATAAACGAATTCACTGGCAGTAGAGTACTTAACTTGCGAACGACTAGTAAAATTCTAATATCTTTCTCCTTCTAATTGTCACAGGTTGACATTGG